CCGCCGCTGCCGGGGGAGGCCGGCGTGCGCCCCCACCCCGCAGTGGCCGTGCGTGTGGGCCAGAGCAGACCGCTCTTGCCGAGGTTTATTTCATCTGCGCTTGTGTGTGCTTCTCCCCCCAAGAAGGAAGATGAGTTTCCAGAATCTTCCAGCCGTCTTAGTCCTTGCTTCATATTTCTGATGAGAGGCGTGTAGAGAGATCAGGCGCCACTGGACCCCTCTGGGACCCCTCGTGAGGCGAGACCAGCGATGCCGTCAGGCTTGGACACGACCCCTCAGACCACCCAAAACCGCGCTTCCGCAACGCTTCAGGCAGCGCGAGCCTCACTGAGGGAGCGTCTTGGTCAATTTGCCAGTGGTACCTTTGCTGGGAACCGAATGCTCGCGAAGCGTTAAGAGGCTGCGTCGGGGCCTCCCCGGCAGTGCAGGGGTTAAAGCCAGGGGTTAAAGCAGCCCGAGTTCACCCCGGCCAGGGAGGGGCCCCAGGGTGCAGCGGAGCCTCCTGTCTCCCGCGGCTCCCCGGCTCTGGGCGTCGCCCCCACCTCGGCCTGCCCCCGGCTCCTGTGTGTGTGAACAGGACAGCTGCCAGGCCCTAGGACGTGTTTGCGTGCTCTGTCGCCTGGCGTCCCTCACGAGCAGCAGCTGGAGACTGCGTGATGGACGCGGACGCAGAGGGCCACCTGGCCGGCCTCAGGCCGGCGCAGGCCCCACGCAGCAAATGCGGCCCCTGGTGCCGCTCGGTCAGCCCAGCCGGCGCTGTCGTAGGGGAAGGCGCTGTGCTGCGCGGCCCCGGGTGCAGGAGGGTCCGGCCGGGGCCTGGCCAGACAGCTTCTCCTGCAGCCACACGCCTCGGCGCCCTCCCGCGGGGTGATTCCGGCCTCCCCCGCCTGGCGGCTGCTCCCCCGCGTCAGCTCCCACCTGCCACACCGCTGACGGGATGGTCAGCTCCTACCAGAGGCTCAGCTCCCGCGAGACGGCCGCCCGCCTCACTCGCCACTGCCCGCCTCACGGGCACCTGTCGGGGCCCCCTCGGCCCACGGCTCTGCGGCCGGCTGTCCTCCCCGCAGCACCCTGCCCACGAAGCCGGCCCGCCACGGCTCCTCAGCGCCCTTACAGACCGTGGCCTCCATGTGTGCTGGCGCGGCCGCGGGGCCTCTGGCCCGCTCCCGGGCTCCCGGCGACTCGCCAGACCAGGCGCGCAGGGCACGGCCCTGGGGCAGCGAGGCCCGGAGTGGCGCCCTCGTTTGTACGAGGTAAAATAATACCTCAGCGGAAGCAGCAGACGAGCCTGCTCGCGCTGTGCTGGGATGTGCGTGTTTGCAGGACCCCTCACGCCTCGGTCCCGGCCTTCCTCACGCTCGTTCCCCGAGCGGAGGGGCTGCGCCTGGCTGCCGTCACCTCCGTGAGGTGGGGTGCGGGGCTGTGAGGGTGGCGCTGATGCTGCTGCCCCGGCCACCCGCGTGGCTGCGACCGCCAGCTGCGCCGTCCCCGAGCTGAGGCCTGACGACGTTCTTGTCCCCCGCGGACAGCGCACCCTGGCGGAGCTGGACGGAGCCCTGACGGCGCTGCTGAGACGCGACATCCCCAACTACCGCTTCCAGCCGGCCCAGCCGCAGGCCTGCGCGCGGACGGAGCGTGAGTACCCGCACCTGAGGCGCTGGCCGCTCTGCTGACAGCCCCGGCGTGGCCACCTCACTGCCCAGGGACCCCCGGCGCACACGTGTCTGCCCCACGCCCATGCCCCTCCCGCCCCGTGCAGGGGCCAGCTGGTCTGGGTCTGGTGACCCACGGGACGGCGGGCGCGGGGCTGCGCCAGTTGGGTGGGGGGCGCCTTGGGCAC